GGTGGGGCATTTTGGTTAAGTAGGTCTAGTCTAGAATCATATGGTGAAGATAGGGATGACAACAAGGCCTCGTGAGGTAGCAGACTCCCTCCTTATCCCGTCCTCATGAATGGCAGTAACAGAGATCCCCGTGGAGATTTTTGATAGAAGATAGATTTTGCTTCCTATTCTCGTTCCCCAAGGGAATGGGGATCCCCATCAATCTATATTAAAATATGAATTTTTTTCACCTATAGTCAATTAATATTCAATTATAATGAGTAAAATTCTAAAAGTTCAAACACCATTAACTAAAATTTTTCAAACATAAAATCAAATATAAATTGTCCAAATATAAACAAAGATAGATTCAACATAAATAACTAAACCAACAAATTTATTTCTTGTACAACAATAATAACATCTAAATTCTATCTTTGCATAGTACAAAAATACAATTAGTTGTAATAAGTAAGGTCAATAAATAAGTGATAAAATTAAATATAAATTGTCCTAACATAAATGAAGATCAATTCAACATGAATAATTGAGTTGGGTTTTAAATGTATTGATATATTGGGTTGGATTAAATTTAAAATAAAATTAATTTATATATATATTTTTAAAAAAAATTCGCAAGGATGAGGATCTTCGTAGGACCCCACAGGACAGGAAAAATTCCCAACACAAATTTACAGGGGCAAAATTCCCTTTGTCCCTGTCTTGTGGGGAGAAATATTCCTCTTTGCCCCACCTCCATGGTGAGGATCTCAACGAGGCCCCACAAGGATTGGGGAAAATTACCATTCCTAAGTGAGGATCCCCATTTAGTAGTTGTTTAAAGATTTCTAGGGTTAGGATGTCTTGAACCTCTAGATATCTCAAGTTCAAAATTTGAATTTTGAGATAAGTGGAGTAAGTAAGATTTTGAAAAGAGAAGGGTGCATCTTTCATTTATATAATTTATTGTCAAATGTAAATAAAAAGGAAAATGATTGGTGCACACCCAGATCTCACACCCGGGTGTGCACCCCCCATATAAACAAAAAAAAAATGCCTATCACCCGGTCCAACTTTTTTTTCTTTTATGTGGAGGGTGCACACCCGGGTGTGGGATCCAAGTGTGCATCAATCATGGTCCAAATAAAAATAATAAAAAGACAAAAATTTCCATGCTTATTTCCTTAATTTGCTTTAAAAGAAGGGGGGGGGGGGTGGAAGAAGAAGAAGGAGAATTCAATCCCCATGTGAGAAAGCCATGAAGGGCTCCAATTGTGTAGGTAGAGACAAAAATCATTTCTGGTCTTTATGCAAAAGCTAGTTGTACAGACAGCTTATGCAAGAATTAAAACATGTTTCCTTATTTACTGGTTTTCAGTTTGGTAATTGCTGTGAGAGAGAGATCTAAAAGAATAAACAAAACATTCTGATGAAGATCATGCATGCCATGCCAGTGCCCTCAGGGTTAGGGTTTTTCTAGAAAATCTGCCATTTAATATATTTCTTCGAGATTGAAAATTTGAGGGAATTAAAGATCTTGAGTTTATTGTATGTTTTTTTTTTTTTTTTCTAATTTAGTGTACACTAATTACATTTTTTTTCATTAATTATTATTGAAAAAAATTTACTTCAATTTTATAATCATTTAATTTAAATTATACATGTATAATTGATATTAAAAATGAAATTAGTTTTTGTTCCTATTTTCTGACCCTTGTTTTGTATATATTTTGATTTTTTTTATATATAATTCCCTATAGATAAAGAAGGAAAATCTTAAGAGTACGTAGTTCTTTGGACTGTGGAGAGTTTTCGAGATCCACTTAATCTCTTAAATAATGATGCAGATTGACTTGTGGATGCAAACGTACTCAAAAGCTTTTGTTAAGCTTAATTTGTCTCCTTTCAAAGAAGTAAAGAATGAAAATAGTCTAAAGCAAAGGAGAAAGAAATTAGTAATGCAATTTCCCTCTGCTATTTTGTTAGGCATTCTACTCTCTTCTATAATATGGGGTTTTTTCTTTTATGATTATTTGATTAGAGTTGTGTTTAGGGTTGCTATAAAATATTATGGATGGGAGTTTTTTTAGTATTGTTTGATAATTACTTTGAAAAAAAATCTCATTTATTAATATGATTACAAAATTATACAAAATATCAATTAAAATCATTTTAATCATAATAAATTAGCACTTTTATGAGATATTGTGTGAAAAAATATCATGGGAAAGCAACCCCAAACACAACCTAGGTATTTGTAGAACAACAATACTATTTATAATCTTACTAACATTAAATGAATATAACATAATATTAAATGAATGGATGTATATAATATTAT